GAGAATGGTATTTTTAAAGGCATAATAAATCACACATTTTCCTGATTTTCAAGTATAGGGAAACTATGTCTCCTTTGGTTGAAAGAGTAACCCCCACTGGGTAACAATTTGTAGCCTGGTAGCAATAACCACAGGTGGGTCAGACAATTTATCAGCTTAAAGAGACATGTCATTCCTCCAACTGAAATTCCTTTCAATATACATAGTCATCCATTACATACATCCCGGATTCTTACTAAGAGTCTCCCATTTGGTTATCAGTGCATTACATCCTTCTCTGGGCATTAGGTACATCCTCCAAAGCTCTCAGATTCATAATTTGTTTATTGTTTTTCCTTGGAACAAGCAGAATAATTAAAATATCCTATGTAATTTGATACAACCAAGAAATCAGTGGGCCATTACATCAGCTCAATGATAAGTGGTAATGAAATCTTTCACTGAAATTTTCTTGAAGCTTTTTTCAATGTGCTTCTACCTTTATTATCTTACTAGACATTTCCAAAGACTATGTAAAAGAAGTCAGACAGGTTTGTGTGGTTCCCATCTCACAGAATGGAAAAGTGAGGTCTAGGAATGTTCAGTGATCACCTAGCTCATCAGTGCCGTAGCTGGGGGTTATATCCACATCCCCAGATGTTCTGCTTCCAAATCTCCCTCATCCATCCTATCTAAATCAATAATTCTTTAAACAAAAAATAGAGAACAATATGCTTTCAATTCTTCAATGCTGTCAAAAGAATAAAGTCTGAACTATACCTAGTTTCTTGAACATGTTTTGGATAAAACAGACAGACAAAACAAAGAAACCCACATTGGCTTTTTCCAGTTCTATTTTTTTTTTCTTTTTACTGGCAGCTGCATTTTAAGGAAAAGCCAGTGAACTGCAGGGAGTAGATAATGGGGACTTCTCAAGGTATCAGGACATCCAGAACACTGTGAAAGCAGATAATCGACGGCATCTGTTCGGAATGGGAGCGACAGCAAAGAAGTCACAGCTGAGCCCCAAGAAACCCTCAACATGTGAGCACTTTATGTATGAATCAGCTGCCCACCCTCTGGTTTGAGAATTAAAAAGCCCCGAGCCATACTGTGGTCCTTTCCAGACATGTAATACAAATGCAGCCACAGTATAGCAATAGTGGTGGGAGGACTAAAAACAGCAATCATTCACTGAGAGACCAAAGTTCTAGGCACCAGGTTGGGAGTTTTGTGTTTATTATTTTATTTTGTCCTTATAATCCAAGGTAGATGGTTATTTCTTTCTTTTTTTTTTATATAAGTTCCTACCTGCAGTTAAAAAACAAACAACAACAACAACAACAACAACAAAAAAACTAAGAGTACAGTCGAAGAGAGCCAAGTGACTATTTAAGAAATACTCTCTTAGTGCTATTTTCCGATGATTTGCCACATTTTCACATCATAATACCAGTGCTGCTTGCCCAACTTTCTTTAAAAAATGAGATATTTAGACATGTAATTTTGTAGCCTCTTTAAACTATAGGCTTTTGATGACCATTTTGCAAGAGTTTAATCAAGAGGGAACAAAAGCTTTATTAACCTGTTTTCTCACTCTCCTTATTTGCTCTATGTACTTGTTTATTATCTGTGAGAACATGCTCCTCATATGGTTTGAAATGAAAGGATGATCCATCTCCTCATTACCAGTCCTCTGCTTGGTGATGAGAAACAAAACAAAACATAGGAACAAAGGGAAAATGCCTTCCTGTCATTTCTCAGCCTTCCTTGCTGCTGCTCAGCTGGGACGCTAAAGAGTGGGGTTTAATGAAAGAAGGTGAGAAGGTGAAAAAAGCGTCCTAATGAGCATGTGTTTAGTTGTGGAAAGATCACCGAGAAGCGGCTGTGATTTTCTTTGTGCCTAGCGTAACACAGTGTCCCCTTAGGTCAAAGAAGCCCATCGTCCTGCCTCCCTCACCCATTCTTCCCCTACCCTAGCAACTAGCTTCTCCACCTAGAATGAATCTTGTGAAGTTTAATTTCTGACGGTGGAGTGAAAAACAATAACATTCCCCGTCACTAGCTTATAGCTCTTGAGACACATGCAGAAGTGGTGCGGGAGGGTCTTTAGGCTGCTTGCATCACTGGTAGAGCATCTCCTGATGCAAGCATGTCTGACCCGAGGCTCAGGATGACAGAGCCCGAGCCTGGTCTGTAGGCTTGCTGACACTTACCCTTTCGCCTGGGAAGGAAGAAGCAAATTCCCATAGAGCAGTACAGAGCCACTGGAAAACAAAATGCTTTAATGCTTCGATGGAGAGTTGATAATAGCTGTCAGAATGCTGAAGCAATGCTCTGAATTAGAATGAAATCGTGCAGTTATAATATCATTCTGAAAATGTCTTTAATCAGTGAGCGTTCTAGCCCTGGGGTATGAGCATCACATCTAAATTAACAAACAAACAAACAAACAAAAACAACAAGCCATGAGAGCCAAACTCAGAAAGAACTCCCAAAACTCTAAGAGTAACGTTTTGGTTCGCCAGCCATAACAAGAAGAAAAAGGAAGCTTAAAGTACAGCTCCTTTGGGATCCACAGCTATCTCAGGGAGGCGAGCCAGGCTTCCCCAGTGCCTGTGTCCAGTGTAACTGTTAACACGAAGGCAGGAACGGAGATCTTCCTTTGAAGTTGGAATGTACAGCCTTCGTTGTGCTTTCATCCTCTACATGTCACTGAGTGAATACCTCAATTACACGGAACAGCAGTAAACTGGCTCATCATAGACAGATCTGTCTTAATTCTAAAAGGATAAAGAAAAGAAAAGAAAAAACAACAACAACAAAAAACAGACAGCCTCACATGTAACAGTTCAGGAACTAGTAAAGTCCCTTAAGGGGCTGCCATACTCTTTCCTCAGAAGGTCATGAGTTCAAATTCAACCTAGGTTTGAGGTCTAAAGACCATTTAATGTCTTGTGTTCAATGTACGTGTGCCTCCAGCATAATGTTCCTATGCAGGGATGTTGACAGCTTGCATTTGTCATTCTTGCTGACTCTCTTAGGGAGTACAGTGGCAGGCCAACCACATGTGGAGACTAAATCACTCTCTGCCATATGAAGGTGATCCTTACAAAATGTAAACTCTGGGGCACTAACGAACATCCTGCTTTCCTGCTGTCCATTCTCTGCCCCTCTTCCACCTCTGATAAAAAAAATAAAAAGTGTAGCAGCTCTTTGGCAATCTAACACGCTGACGAGCCCAGGACAGACTTTAAATTTTAAAGACCTACAAGCATGTCCACAAGAAGACCGTTTCCCATACAACATAATAACTCTCTCTGCTTCCACAAAGCATTCACTTGTGGTAATAAAATGCCAGGTCACAAGCCAAATTTTGACTCCATTACTGAGCATTATCCTTGAGTTCTAAATGGAAAGGCAGAACAATTCACGAGCTGTCGGGCTCCAGCCTTACCCCACCCCTGAGCAACAACAGGCTAAACAATGATAACGGCTATCGTCACTACTTGATTAGATTCTGAATGACGGGCTCTGTCCACAGGTCACTTTGGCCAGTGGCTCAACAAATAAATTTCAAACCATTTGGATCCTAGGCTTCTGCTTGTAATTTCATGGAATCCAGTGAAGAAATGCACCATCCATCAAAAGGGACTTGGGGAGATGCTTAAGGTAATCAGATTGATCCTCTTCATGAAAAAGTAAAAATTGCCAAAACCGGTTTGGCTCAGTGGATAGAGCCATGGCTTGAGGACTGAAGGGTCCCAGGTTCAATTCCGGTTAAGGTCATGTGCCTTGGTTGTGGGCACATCCCCAGTAGGGGGTGTGCAAGAGACAGCTGGTCGATGATTCTCTCTCATCAATGTTTCTAACTCTCTAACCCTCTCTCTTCCTCTCTGTGAAAAATCAATAAAATATTGTATATTTTAAAAAGAAAAAGTAAAAGTTGGTGTGGCTGGGTTGAGATAGGAGATTTCCACGGAGTTCCTTCCAAAGTTGTAAGTGGTTCCCACCTCTGTAAGGGGCACCCCCAGAATGTGTCAGTGCTGGGCATGTAATAGGTGCTAAGCCCGTTGGCCACCCGAAGAGCACAGGTCACCTGGATGCAGGGGAGAGTGGCAGCACCTCTGAGAAACCCCTGAACGCCTTCCAGAAGCCCAGCTTCCCAGCTTTATCTGCTGCTTGAAGATGTCCTCACCGCAGCCAGAAGAGCTGCCTAGATCCTAGCTTTCTGTTACTGGCAACCATTGGAAACTGTGCCGCTAGAAGTCCCAAGACTTTGAAGGTATTTCTTGTCAAGTCACCAGATTGGAAAATACTGGAAAGTCTGGAAAATCAGGAGGAGGGCAAAACTTTGTGAATATTTCTCCTGCCCAGGGTGAGTTGAAGGTGAAATCTAACCACCATAACCTCTAAAGGAAAAGAGGCAACTGATGCTGAAGCCTCTCTGCCCCGCCTTGTAGCCTTTTCTAGAGTGGAGTGGCTGAATCCGCCCCAGGCTGAGGCAGTAGGTGTGGTGGCCAGTGCTCATACCGCCTCCACCCTCCTATCAATCATTCCTCCATCTATCAATGGGTCCATCAGATCTTTCCTTATAACCTATTCCATCTGCCTGCCTAGAAAAAATGGATCATCTCGGTTGTGGCCATTTACCTGATGAGGAAAGTAGGAAATACTTTCTTCTAACCTAAAGCAGTCTGGGTGTGTGTGTGTGTGTGTGTGTGTGTGTGTCAAACACTGAAGTGGCACTCTTCAGGAAGCCTTTCTACATTTGGCCAGATGTTCCAAAAAGCACTTTACAAGCTCCCCTCTTCGCTCTGTACCCACCAATCTTGGGCTTCCTCCCCACCGATTTTCCTCTCTTCCTTAAGAGGTTTGCTTCTCTGGATTCTCAGCACGTAGTTCCAAGATGGGGATCAGACCTGTTACAGCGGCTGTTGGGCTCTGTGCTTGGGCCGGAGGAGAGTGGAGGTGGGAAGGAGATAGGTTATGTCCGATGAGGACTGGGGCGGAATTTGCTAGATCCCTGGCCAGGTGTCATTATAATGAACACTGAGGCGGCCACAGGAGCAGAGATTTGGGAACCGAACCCAGTGCCTTACCGGGGGCTCTCTGGGGCCAGAGTGACGTGGCTCCATCAGGTGGAAAGCCTGCGGCTCTCCCTGGACCCAACTCTTGCAGAGATAAAGATGTCTCAGAAGCCAGGACCATCGCCACCACCACCACCACCAAGCCCAGGCCTAGGAGGGGAGGGAGGGGGGAGCTTTTCTGCTCCCACAGCGGCCAGGGCTTGTTTGTGGGTTCGCAATTCACGGTGATAAATGTAAAGACCAATTAAGGTTTGATCCGAGCGCACGGGAGGCAGACGGCGGCGGACAGTGGGACCAATTAGCGAGCATGTCCCCTCATTCCCGCCGCGGCCGCGCCGAGCATCCCCAGGCGCCCGCGGCGGCGGCCCGGGAGCGCCCGGCCCCCTCCCTCCCTCCGGGCTCGGGGAAGGGCTGTCCTCTGCCAGCGAGAAGGTGCGAGGCGCGAGCGGGGCCCCAAGGCGGCCGGGAGGGCCGTGCCCTGCGTGCGGGGAGGCTCGGAGCCAGCCGCCTGCGGAGCCCCACCGTTTGCAGCCCGGGCCGGGGGGGGGGGGGGGTGTCCCCCGGGCTGGCGGGGATGGGGGCTGGAAGGCGCCCGGCGCTGCCCCGAGGGCGAAGGACAGGTGTCCGCGCGGCCGCCGGCAGGTAGCCCGGGGCTCGGAGCTGCGCGGCCCGGGCCCATGCTGGCTTTCGCTTGCACGGGGCCCGGCTGGCTCTGCTGGCAGCGGGGGCGACCTGGCGTCGTTGGTGCGGGGCTCCAAGCAGCCCCCCGGGTCCGGGGAGACCTCGGCCTCTCCCCGTCACGCTCCCCTTTCCCTCCCGGCTCCTCCAGCCGCCCCAGACGTGACCCCCGCGCGAGGTGTGGGCGCTGCGCGCGTGATGGATGGATGGATGGATGGATGGATGGATGGATGGATGGATGGCCCCGGGGTCGGGGGCGGCGCGGGCACGAGCCTCTCCTCCGCTCCGCCGGGAGGTGAGGGTGTCTGGGAGGAGAGCCAAGGCACGGAGATGGGGACCCTGGGGCCGTGGAGGAGGAGGAGGAGGAGGAGGAAGAGGAGGAAGAGAAGGAGCAGGTGACGCGGGCCGGGGAGGCTCGCCCTCTGGTCCTCTGGCCGCGGGGCGGGCTCCGGGGCCGGTCCCCCCCGCGCGGCGGCTGCAAAGTTTGGAGCCGCTGGCGCCGCGCCGCGCGGTGCCCGGTCCCTCCCCGCGCAGCTCCCTCGGCGGCGGGGTCCGTGCCGCCGTCGCCGCCGGGGCAGGACAAAGGCTCATTAACACGTGATGGGACCGCGCCTCATAAATGGGACCGGAGCGGGAGGGAGCCGGAGACGGCGCGCGAGGCGAGCGGAGGGAGAGGCGGGACCGACCGCGCGCACCGGGTGAGGCGCCGCGCACCGGGACCGGCGGGCGGGGAAGGGCGGCCCCGCGCCGCGCCGGGCGGGGAGCGAGCGGGAGGACCAGGAGGACCCGGGAAGGGGCGAGGCTCGCCGGCGGAGGGGGCTCCAGTCCCGATCCCTGTCACTGGCGGGCGCTGCAGGCTGGGGACCCCAGCGCGCGGGTAGGGGAGCGCGGACCGACTGACTTACGGACCGACGGACCGAGGCGCCTCCCGTTCCACCCCACCCACCCCTGTGCATCCCTCCCTCCCGCTTACTCCCGCGGCCACCCCATCCTCCTTCTCCACTTCTTCTCTGCATCCGCCTCCTCCAGGCTCCCGCGGCGCCAGTGCCACCCCCGGCCCGGGCGGGGCGCCTCCGCTCGCTCCCCGCAGAGCTCTCCGCGGGGGGGACGCTCCGTTCCCGGAGAAGCCGTCCCTGCGCCGGGCGAGAGGTGCCCGGGGAGCTTCCCATCCGAGGAGGACCGGGGGATGCGAAGGGTAAGACCTGGCAGACTTTCATTTGGAAATTACTTTTCTCGCTTCCCTCCCTCCCCGCCCCGGGTGCTGACCTGTGTGGTCCCCAAGGTCCATCCTAGAGTTCGTATTCCGCGCGAGCGGATCGTGCGTTAGTGTTTACTTGGCTGGGCAGCCCCGCCTGTGAACGGGGGCCGGTGCTACTCTTACTTCTGGAGGTTTCTACCATGGACTAGTTGCTGGGTGTGTGTGCACCTGGCTCTCCGGATGCAGCGATGTCTGTGTGGGGGAAAGGTGTGGTGGTGCATGTTTGGAAAACGGGCGCTTGAGTTGATGCTCAGAGGCTGTCAACCCTACCAGCAACGAAGTCTTCCCACAGAAATCATCCATCCATCCCGACATCAAGCCTAGAAACTGTCTGAAGTGCATGTTTAGCTGTCATGTAAAGAAATGGATGTCAAATAATAAACTTTTTTTTATACAGGAAAAATATACAGCTCCAGGAACCACTCTTCTTTGGGGGGGGGGGAAATAAATGGGCAGGGAACTAATATCTAAATTTGAATTTTGATGGAACCATTTAACTCAGAAGTGGCCATTAGCTGGAGGGGAAAAAAGTTGATGTGCTTTTAAAAGACATTTCTTGCTGAGGCTCAGAACCATAAAAGGATCACCTCCCAAAGCAAATGTGTTGGCTGTGAGAGACGTGAGGAGCTGTCATTTGGTCATTTGAAAGTTTAGAAGCAACATGCATGTATCTAATTTTAGTGTTACATTGAACAGATGAGGGGGAAATTAGTCACCTATTAATCATTTTGTCTCTCATCTTTTTTTTTCTCTAAAAAAAGTGTTATTCTTGCCTTTGTTGTTGTTTTCTTGATACATTAAGCATACTCTGGCATTTAAAGCAATAAGAGATTAGAATAGATAATACTGGCTTAAAAGGGGTCGAAAGGTATTTCTATGGGTCCCCTAACTTCTCATTTTTATTTCCCAGATAATATATTTTGAACAATGGGGGAAATTTCTTAGCAGAAACGAAGTGGACGTTGAATATCAGTGGGATGCCCACTGCCATCAATCTGTTTTGCAGAATATTGAGAAGCTCAGAGCAACCAACCTTTAAGGTTCCCTTAGGACTGTATCCGATGTAAAGTGTTGCTGTTCCAATCCCACCCTGCTGACAGTTTACAGGGAAGACAGACTGATGGATTTCTCTTGGTCCCCCTCCCCCACCCTCCTAACTCAGTTATGGCCATTTTATCGCAATAAAAAGCCATGTATCGTTTCCTAAGTGAGACACGTTATTTTCTGATTATATCCATACACGCACAGTATCCAGGCATCTCCAGAATTTCAAACGTTGTCTACTGCAGGCAGTTATTTGTAGGCACAACAGCAGTTACCATCGTTGGGCAGGAGGTTTGAGGATGGACATGGTGTTTAAAAAAAAAAAAAAAGTAATCCGTTTTAGGTTATCAAAAGAACTTACTGTAAAAGGAGACTCTTTTTATTCCAAAGATGTCTTCACTCCAGGCAAGGAGCAGTCTTGGCGAAGGTATGTATCAAGTGTCTGATGGGGAGAAGTCTCATTGTGTTCCTAAGTCTCCATGGGGGTAAGATGATGCCACAGAGGGAAGTGCTCAGGTCTGACCTTTCCAAGATGAAATGGCTATGCTTGCATACTCCTTGTTAGGAAGGCAAATTAGATTTCATCCCCCCCACCCCGCCCTCCACCCCCTGTGGTAACAGACAGCAGCAGTAGATGTGCATACAAAAAGAATGTGATGCCTAGTCCCTTTCACAACCATAGGTGATAGTGTGTAATTTGGTGTGTGAAGTTTTCCATTCTGGTGAAAATGCGATCTCACGCTGGAGTAGCGCTGGGCTTTGTTTGTTATCCGCTGTTTTCTGTCTTTTCCCCGTTACCCTTTTCCCAGTGGACTGCGAGCCTCCCTGTCTCGCCTGTGAGACTGTTCTCTAATAAGCCTAGCTGCCGGATCAATGTGTTCTTTTTGGCATTTCAAAATGTTAAAATAGTGAAATTGTTAAATGTTACCAAGATGGAACTGCTGGGAATAAAATTCTCCGGAAGAACCACTATATTGGTGGCATATTTCAGACTAGTCCAAAAGAAAACTCCCTGGATGGGTTTACCTGTTTTCTGGAGAAAGCAGCAGCCCCATTGATTAGTGTTGATAAGTGTTTAGTATGCAGCGTCAGCTTATTAATTACTAAGGCAAAGGCTGGAAAACTCTTTCAAAACAATGGTGTGACATTCTCTTCTCTGCGTGGACTCCGAATTAACATAAGCCACCAGGAAATGTAGACAGGCTCCTGGGTTGTCTTGCATATTAGTGCTTGGGTTTAGAATTGAAAAACTTGCAAGTATAAGAATTAACTATTATAAAATGGAAACTTATAACAGTAGTTACAGTTCACCACCCTTACCAAATGTTTCTTTCCAGAAAACAGTTGGCCTAATAAGGGAGGGGATTATTTCTCATAATTAGCTCTCCAGGAATGCTGGGGGGAAAAATAAAAAAAAAATAAAGAGTGATATATTGATTTTGGAAATCCCTAACAACACATGATGAGGAAAATGAGATTCGGTTGTAGCGTCATGAATTTGGTCGGGAAGATGGAGCCTGTCCTGTGGGTTTGCTGCCTGTTATTCTAGGGGTAATCATGTTATCTCAGTTGCATGATGAACACAGAGGAGAACTTCCATCCCTGCAAAAAGGGATTCTGTGTCACCCGTGTAAGTCTGGCTTTTCTGTTTCTGTAGTCATCATTTTCTGATTGAACCAACCAAGTAGAATAAAACCAACTTTTGGGTTTAAGATAGTTATAATTCTGTTTTTGACTCTGAAACAACCTGGACCCACCAGTGTTTGAAAAACTGTGCTGGGACCAGGCTTATATAGTGTGCACCTATGTTGTGAGGGACAGCAAGCTCCGCTGATTTTTCTTTTCTTGACTGAAAACTGGTAGAGAAGTTAAAGAAATCAAAACCAATTTGTGTACTTAACTTCATATTTCCCTCCTGAATCTCCAATTCTGTCCTAATCCTGTTCTTTAATAAAGTTAAATTTGTGTTGTAACTGCATGAATGCTGTTTTTGAGGGGAGCAGGGATTCAACACTTTGCCACTGAATTGCTATTAAATGTTTTGATAGCCATTAATTAGATCAGATGAACTTCTTAACAACTCAGATTTATCTCAGATACATTCTAAAAGAAACGATAAATGTTATCCAGAATATGTATACTGCATAATTTTAGATGACTGAACATTTCAGCACACATTTTTTGCATAGGTATGAAGAAACTTTTTCATAGATGTATATCTAGACCCCTGGTGGGCAAACTGCGGCTCAAGAGCCACATGCGGCAGCTCTTTGGGCCCTTGAGTTTTTAGCAAAGGCCAGCTTAGGAGTACCCCAATTAAGTTAATAACAATGTACCTACCTATATAGTTTAAGTTTAAAAAATGTGGCTCTCAAAAGAAATTTCAGTCGTACTGTTGATATTTGACTCTGTTGACTAATGAGTTTGCCGACCACTGATCTAGACCAAAAGA